CACAATATTGTAAATTCTTTTTAATATCAATCAAGCATATGGTACTGAAGATAGTAATTATCATCTCTTGATGGTAATCAAGAGATTTAACTGATCTTTATTTAAACTAACATTTGAGAAACAAAATGTTATAATGCTCGAATTTCCCCATTTACACAAATGGAATGCTAATTTGCCTTAGTCAGTCAGTCAGTCAGCTACAACATAGGACCAGGCACATATGTGCATCGACCCAGGTTGCCATACCTCGTTAGCACAGCAAGATGAACACCGGATTCATAGAAGTGGTTAAGTCAAAGGTGTTAATATATAGGAGGAAGATTGCAATAAGGATATAGTATAGGAAGAAAGAATTAGTTAGTAGAAAAAAAGAAATGAAGTGATTTTAATCTCATAGTTTAAGGGAAGACAGGGAGTGTACACAACGACGCTATTGTGATCGACTCTGAGCCATGTCACCAAGAGTCTCCAAACATTGGTTACGAAAGTCACGCGGACCCCAACCAAGTAGTCTGCATCTACCAACATGGCTCAGACTAGAAGTTAGTGACTTCAATCACTGATGCCACGTTTTGGTTTGGACGCCCCTAACTTTCTTCCAACCATCCCCAACACTAGTCAAAATCGTGTGTCGTGGTAATCGGTGTTCAGGCATACGTAGTACGTGGACCAACCATCTCGATGGATGAAGATTCACAACCTCATCAACTAATCTACCATCATCCCCCAATACCCTATGTCTAACTTTATTACTACTTACCCGGTGACCCCAGCAGATAGCATCAATGTTTCTAAGACATCTATGATCAAATACTAGTGACTTACGAGTATATTCTACTCTCGTTGCCCACGTTTCGCAGCCATAACGTAGAACAGAACGAACTTCTGTGTAGTATAGTCATCCTTTAATTGATAGACGGATATCTCTCCTTCGTCATAGGTGGCAAAATTTCGCAAAAGCCAAACGATCTTTTCGAATCCATGCTGAGATTTCGTCCGATACCAACCCATTAGAGCCTAGACGAATATTTACACTAGATTTTCTTCCAGTGTCCATTCTACAGAAATTCGACATAATTTAGATCAAGAACATGTGACTAGCCTGACTAGAACGTAAGTATACTTCCATACCAGAAACTGACAACAATCATAATAATAGTAATGGTAGGAGAATATAATATAACTCATCTAGTACCTGTCAGAAGATTATCTACTAGTCTGACTAATCAAACAATCAATCATTCTCGCCCACACATCACAATAATAAATATATTTTTTGTTATATATACTGTGTTTTCGACGTTTTGTGACTTAATGTAAGTCATTTTTGCAACGTAAATAAATAACAGAATTAAATTAGCACAAGTTTGAATAGTAGCCGTTTAAACTACTCATTAAGATATAACAAAAAAATATATTTATCATTAACTTCCTATCGAATGCTTATTTTGTTTGATAAACTGTAGTGAACGGGAACATATATGGGGACAACCAAATGTATTGTAAACACAGTTACAGAGTTCTTCAGTAAAAGGTGAAAACCATGCCCTTAATACTTCATCTGCAATTTCTTCATCAATTGTCTCAAACTTCATCGTTGCTTCATTGCCACAACGATTACTCTATGTTTCACAACAATTACCTTTTGTTCCCGTTCTCTTTGATTCGACGTTCTCAGCCTTCTGCTGCCAAGCATTCCACTTCTGACTAGTGTTATATACTACTTGTGTCGACATAAGTAGCATACACCATAAAACTATCAAGTTCAACCGTGATATTGATACCTACATATGAGAAACAATATATAATATAAAATAAGAAGGATTAAAAAAAACTGTCATTTAACCAGTCAGTTCAGTCATTCAATCTCAGTTGTTTTACAATGAACAAAGGCATGGTCATATTTAACCCATTTATTGTTTAATGTAAAATTACAATGCCCTCGTAAAATGTGAAAACCATACATTAAATCCGTTATTTGCGCATCTTCCTTCAGTTGTCCTTACATGCTTCATGTTTTTTTCACTTCAGTTGTTATTACAATTGCTCTCTGTTTCCCTTCCTTTTCTCTTCATTTCAATCTTCTGCTGACAAGTGTTCTACATCTGACTACTGCTACATACTACTTATATTTGTCAACATAAGTAGCATGCACCACAGCTTGAATATTCCCATTAATGCTTAGGGATGTAACTGATCAGCCTCTTATAGACATATGTGCATCGTATGCGGATTGCCTCGATATTGCCTTCGGTCACAATCATTATAAGCAGAGATGATGATGGCCAGCGGTGGGATACAAGACGTGCGTTTCATCCTATCTGGGACTCGTCGGCTGGGTGTGCTCGCATCCCGGAGTTCACCCCAGGAATCAAACCCAGTCCCGAAGTGAATATCAACTTTGGGATACAGATATATCCAGCTGATGAATCCCAACTGGGGCGAAACGCGTGTTCTGGATTCCACTGCTAGCTACCATCATCTCTGCTTACAAACGGTAAATAATTACTCATAAAATTCAATTGTATATAAATGGTATATTATTCAGCTATTACCAGAGTATTTGTTAACTTCGTTAATCTCAGGTAAAATAGTTTTTGAATAAATAAACTATTAAGCTTTATGTTAGCGTCTCTGATGGTGACATTTAATTTTATCCATTTCAATAGCATATCTAGCACCAATTCTATTGTTGACAAATGGAAAGTAATACAAAATCTAAGTTCAAAACTTCTCACTGTATACTACTGACTAATGAATGCTTAAACATGAATTGTAACTTGGTATTTTACGCAAATCGTAGATTGAATAAGGAAAAATCAAACATATCTATAAATGAATCTCATATAGTTGTATTTTTTTTCTATTATTTCTACATGAGTAGTTGCTAAGTACAAGATTATGTTCAGAAGGAAATGTTTTTATCATAATCTTTTATTCATAGCCTTTAGTATGATCCGTTTTAATGAATGAATGAATATAGAAAAGGAAATTTTTATAAATATTAATCATTTTGTGTTAAGCTGTTGTAAAATCTTATAAACATCATTATTATATAAACACGCGCGGCACCGATGGGTCTTGAGTTCGGATCTCGCGAGGTGAGATCATGGATTCGCACTTCTGAGGAGTCCAACAATAAGACGAAACAGCCGTCCAGTGCTTCCAGGTTTAACATGGTGATCTAGCTTTAATTGACTCATGATCTCAACTGTTGAAGTTACTGTAATATCCACAAAAACCTCTTCTGTCTTGCTTTAAAGCTTCCGACTGACTGATTTAGAAAATTATTGGTTACAATCAGATAGTTGTGTTCTTAGAATATTCATAGTATATTGTTAACTTATACATTAGTGAACCATGATTCTTTTCTTTTGCTTTTATGATTGTGTTAACTGTACGCTATTCATAAGTATCAACTAATAGGTTCTCTAAAAAAATATGTGATATCTTCAACTCTTTGCTTACGTTCAACTGTACCATGTTAATTTTATGATTATTAATTAACTGTAGTGTTTGGTACATGTACTACTATGGTTCATTTGATGCCTACCATAAAATATTAAATTTTTTTGGTATACAAATCTGTTTAAATTAAATGAGAAGTAGTCAAGTCAAGGTGTTGTATCAGTTCATGAAATTATTGACTTTTTTTACAAACTGATACATATTCTGTATCTTTGATCCTCTGAGATAATCTTCATCGCTAATATGGAGCTATAAGTGAAAATGACTCGGAATTGATTAATGTGATAATGTTAGGTTTAGTGACGTAGAGTGAGTGATATCATTTTTAGTCGCTCGTGATCTAACTCCAGTTATATTGTATGAATGATTGTTGTCAAAATATACATCTTGGCTATCCTCTTATATAGTTATTGACTTAACTCTCGTTAGTCAATAATGAAATTAAATAAACCAAATACGAGAATGGATTACGAATATGTATATTTTGTATAATCATTGATCTGGACAAACGATCCAAGGGATAAAACGAACAGAAGAGAGCGAAACGAAAGAACACACGGCGAGAGCATTTGAGCCAACTTGATTTAATCAATCGTTAATCAATATTTATAACCAGATAAAAATAGGTTACAGACATATGATGAAAAGAATAAGAAGTGTACACATATGCGCTCATATAGAAAACAGTCAAGGTTGATAAGCAAATAATTAACAAGCTCAAAATGTAGCTCAAGGAAAATGAATAAATTGGCTTGTTTTTATTTATTTATTTATTTAAACACATAAATATAGTCACATAAATCATTCGATTATGTGAGGGCCGGGATATTGCCCGGGTGCCCAAACCGAAGCAGGTGGTTTTCTTAGGGGGCCACATCCAGAGCCTTCGACCTGGAGGTCTAATCCACAAGGCAGTGGAGCGACGTCAGGAGATGCAGTCACATGGTAGCCAGTGACAAACGATTGGTTTATACGCAATTTGTTCCTTCAAGATACTGGAGCCCATTTGCACCATTGGTTTGGAACCAGGGTTTTCAAACTCCCCTAGATGGACTCTCCATGTCCACCAACCCGGTTAAAGCGCCAGACATTCGTTTCTCGCCCTCTCAACTTCGTAAACAACAGTAATGCTGCGGGAAGGCAGTGAGCAGGACATCCCTATCAGTTGTTGCATGCACGTGGCCATATGAAAGCATTTCGAGAGGGTGAGCTGACTCTCCACACTCTCAGCTGTATCAAGGCATTTGGGGGCCTGTTCAGAAGCTAGAATAAAGTTTATGAGCTTCACTTAGTAACTGACACTACACATTACTGAAAAACTGTTAACTGACTTATTTACTTTTGTTTTACAGAACAATAACCCAACTGTAACAATGTGGTCAAAACAGACTTAGTTAAATATTATCACACTGTATAATACATGATAATCATATCAAACTTACATTTTTGTTCTGATATTTTCAATGTGAAACTCCTATTTACAATTTGGTTTAAATCATCTTATTTAATGATTTCTTAATTCTATTTTATAGCATCCGATTGTTTTGCTTATATGCGTAAAGGTAGTGAAATGATTAAACTACATACTAGTGGACGTCAATATAAACGTATGTTTTATTTAAATGAACAAATGAATTGTATTAAATGGTCTTCAACAAATAAACGTCAATCAAATTCACAAAGTAAGTAGATTTTAATTTAAAGCTAATTTCAATATTGTTATTTTATGATCATTATAACCGGCTATTTGATTTCAGTTTGATCGTACAAACATTCCGTATCTTATATCTAAGCTAATCCTGTTTATAAGACAGTGGTAATAAGAAACTAAATACGAGTTGAGTTGGAGGAATTTATTTCAGGTACTAGTTTATCCAGACAGATATTGAGAATGAGAAGTGGGAAAGCGAATATGGAGAAGGCAATTTTGAGAACTCGTTTTGATCAATTGAGACCCTATATTTATGGTCATACAAAAATAAGCTAAAGATATGATGAGTAAGACAAACAATACACACACATACGCTCATTAATAAGGGAACAAATGACAATATCAAAATGTGAATTGAAAAGAATGAATAAATCGGTTTGCCCAGAAGCTACAACAGTACCAATCACTACAATATAATTAACTTGTTTAAAAAAGATAAACATTCATAGATTGCCATTCATAAAGTATTTGAGACTGTTTCAATTCCAGTTAAATAAAATAAAAATCTTGAAACTATGACAATTCTCCTGACTGAGCGCTTGAATCAGTTTCCTAAGCTCTTCTATTAATCCTAGACTAAATCTACACGACGACTTGAGTATGAGAGAAAAGGTACAAACTATGGAAAGGGAGCTTTACTAAATAATGTACACAAAATCTAGAGAATTCATAACATTTCAGATGGTCTTGGGTTTCTGAAAGGTTCTGGAACCCTACTAGACACATAGTATCAGGATAGGTGATCATCCAAACAAAAAAGTGACACTTGACTCTTCACTTTCTAGATGTTTCTGAGATACATCTATTAAATGCTGACTGGACAGAATGGTTCTCAGTGTTTTCATTGCCCCTTCGGGGTCCTTTCGAGAAGTTTTTTCGGGTCTCCCCAACACTACATTTGATCATAAATTTATAAATTTAATTTCAGTAGTTGAGATCATGAGTTAGTTGAAACTAGACCATCATAGGAAACCTGGAAGTGCTGGATAGAATTGTTAGCTTGATATGAATGTAGTTTTTTCTTCAAAAATTTTCATTCACTATAAAATAAATAAAGTTAAAACAGATGGTTCGTTTTAGTTTGAAACCTGAAAATAGAATTGATCTTGTGTCCTCTAACTTATGTGTTGATAACGGTTAGTTTAGATTTCTAAGACAAATTCTACCTTTGAACATTTTTAGCATGATTTTCAATCAAATGTATTTTTATCAGAATGGGTTTTGTGGAGAATCTAAGAAATTTCACAGGTTGAAATCATGAGTCAGTTGAAGCTAGACCACCATTGAAAACCTGGAAGCACTGGACGGTCGTTTCGTCCTGATATGGGATCATGGATGCGCACTGCTGAGGAATCCCATATCAGGACGAAACGGCCGTCCAGTGCTTCCACGTTTTCAATGGTGGTCTAGCTTCAACTGACTCATGATTTCAAATGTATTTTATGATTTAATGTGTTATTCTCATCTTGACTAACTTCGTTGGTCCTGATTCCTTGTCGTCATATAGAAATATATATCTCATAGATCAACTATTAATGACCATATAATTATCATTCAATTAGACTTATAGACCCGTTAATGCAAGATCCTAAAGATTTGTTGTTTATATTTAGAGTTGAAACTGATCAGTCTCTTGGCATATGTTGACAGAGTGAGAGGATTATTTTGAAATAACCTTCTGACATTTGAATTCTACTAGTCTGTTTCATTCTATTGGGGACTGTTCAGAAAATTATCCTTACATCTCTGTATTGATGAGCAAGCTGGGATAAAGGTCCATTGGCTATGTCATCAAACAACAATATGGACTCGTGAATTCAATCATAAAATACTGCAATCTCCACATATCCATATACTGATAGTAGATTTATTTAAGCATTGATTTTCTTGTTCATGGTTAACAAGGTACAATTATTAGACTTCAATCAAAATTCAACTATCAAACTTATGTATGATAAATAGGTACCTGCTTCGGTCTGGGCACCAGGGGAGTATACCATCCCTCACACAAATCGAATGATTTATGTGGCGTATATCTATTTGGTGCCTCCTTGTACCAATGTTTATGTGTTTAAATAAATAAATGATAAATAGGTTTGAATAAATTTTTCTAGTTAGTGGTTTTTTAGCGAGTTAGTTTTCTACGGGATAGAATCGTTAACCCCATGCCCAACCCTCCTCCATTATCCGGGCTTGGGACCGGTAGTAGTCTCCGGAGGGAACTCCAGGCGGAGTTTGTATGATAAATAATTGACGAAGTATTTTTACTTTACTGTGAGTATCTTAATGACTTGTAATTAATCATGTCTTCAACTTTTCCTTTTCTGATATTCTAAATGTTAATCGATTTGTTCCTTATTCACCTATATGTATCCCGAGTGAATATATGTTTAGGTCTTGATTTCATTTGATTACTCAATTAAAAAAATTGTAGATTTGAGTGAAAGGGTTAAGATTAATTCAATTTATAAAATATGAATTATAGATGATTAGTGTATTAAAGGGACACTTACTCAAACTATTATATCTGAAATCACATTAGAAAATCACACAATATAAATTTATAATGAGAGACGAGTTTTTGTGGATATTATAGTAATTTTAACAGTTGAATTCCTTAGTCGATTGACCTGTGGAGTTCAACCAAATCTGTTGTCAGATAGTAACTCACTGATGATAATAGTGGACGGTGACTCAACTTCGGGGATCAGTTTAAGTTAAGCATTAACACCACTGGATGCCGGCTCAGTGGTCTAGTGGGTAGGCGTTCGTGCGCGAGACTGATAAGTCCTGATTTCGAATCTCGCGAAGCGGGATAGTGTATGCACACTTCTGGGGAGTCCCACAACAGGACGAAACGACCATCCAGCGCTTCCAGGTTTCCCATGATGGTCTAGTTTCAACTAACTCATGATCTCAACTACTGAAATTAAATTTATACATCATATTGATAAGTGAATCTTATAGAGTTTAGAATTACAGTTTATACTGTAAACAAAGTTTTACCCATATATTCACTTTTGTATTTCATTTAATTCAAAGTTAGTCAACGTTAAACGGATGCTCTTTAGGTCTCACAACAAGAATGAAAGCGTTCCGTTAAAGATTGAAATTGGTCTGTTTAATTCATGTCAGACATTTCGTGACCATTTGGATTAATAGTTATTAGATTGATTTATTTGTAGCGAATTCTTTTCAATTGTTTCTTAAGCCATATATATTGCCTAATTACATAATGTTCCGCTTCGACTCAAATACCGGACAATCAATTCCATGAAATTGACTAAGAATTTCACATTGAATCACAAATTAATTGAAATTAAATTTGCAAAATAATGGATATCCAACTGAAGGCCTGAATATATTCACTGTTATTGAGAAATTTTTAACAGTTGAATTCATGAGTCAATCTAAGCTAGGCCACTATTGACAATCTCGAAACACCGGATGGCCGTTTCGTCTTAATATAGAATGCACATCTACGATCCCGCGCACATGATTCGAACTCAGGACCTTCGGTATTGCACTCAAACTCTTAACTTCTAGATCACTGAGCCGCTATCCAACAGTGTTAACGTCTAACCCCAATCAATCCATGAAATTTCTAATCAAGATAAATCAGATATTTACAAATAATTCTAAGAGCTTTCAATAATTCTTCAACTGATATCAAATCGTGGATGTCACAGTAATAAGAAGATTAAATCAGTTTTTTTAAATATAATATATTATTGAATTTAAAAAGAAATGATTCAGTACATGTGATAAACTAATTCTTTTTTAATACTTTTTTATTATTAATTATCCTACTATGGTCAACACACTCTGTCCTGGACCTTCCTTTCTAGTTCAATCCAATCGTTGTTCATTCTTCTCATGTCTGTCTCCGTTTCTCGGAGTGATGTGTTCTTTGACCTTCCTCTTCTCCTTTAGCCTTAAGGATTTCATGTAGGGGCTTGCCTTGTGACGCAGTTGGGTGCTGTCCTCAATGTATGTCCTATCTGCATCCTAGGTGTCCACTGTACTTTCCTGCAGATGTTGACGTCTTCATGATCCAGTCTATCATCAGGAGAAAGAGAAAGGGTGAGCGTAATCAACATTGCCTGACACTGGTCTTTACTTCGAACAACTTTGTCAACTGTCCTCTATGCACGATTTTGCAGTTTAATCCATCATAGGAATTCTGTATGATATTGACTATCTTCTGACGCACGCCGTAGTTTCGAATAAGCCTCTATAGTGTTGTTCTGTCCACTCTGTCAAATACCTTCTCGTGATCAATTAAGTTGTTTTAGAGTGGCGAATTCCGCCAGGAGCCCCTCTGGCGCAACTGCCGGCCCCAAGCACAGACAAACTAGGAGAGTTGGGCATGGGGTTAGCCACCCTATCCTGTAAGAAACTAACTCGCTAAAAAAACGCTAACCGGAAAAAGACAATACAATTTTAACATACAATAAATTGAATAGTTTTTCAATCATACAATCGTATGTATGACTGTATTGGTTAAAATCCTTTCATACAAATTGAACATAACAATAATAAATGAATGAACTGATAATATGTCTTATAGTATGTTTTTAATATCTTATTTTGTTACAATTAATCAAGTCATTAATAATTTATTTAATATTCCATGCTTTATACAAATAATTGATTGTTTGAATAGAAATCATGCTTCAGTTTGAGTATCACACAAATCAATGATATGTGCTACTGGTCTCATTGTTATTGTGTAGCGCATATTTATTTCAGTAGTTGAGATCATGAGTTAGTTGAAACTAGCGCTGGATGGCCGTTTCGTCCTATTGTGGGACTCTTCAGAAGTGTTCATCTACGACCTCGCCGCGAGGGATTCGAACTCAGAACCTATCAGTCTCACGAGCGAGCGCCGAACCACTAGACCATTGAACCGGTATCCAACGGTATTAATGTTTAACTTCATCTAATCCATGAAATTGAGCGACACATTCA